CAATTTTGAATTGAAATTCGGCCCGAGGTTCTCTCCAGTTTGGATCTGGAAATCCAATCCCAGTTTCGGATGTGCGCAACGTCGGTAATTTTACAAATCAGTGGTTTAGATTTTGTTTACCTATTTAAAACTCAATAGTATATCCAAATAAAAAAATTTAATCCAACACCCTCGTGCTACAAGATCATTTTAGCTTCAATGCCCTTGTTTTATTTTGTTTTGATCTATTGGATTACTTAGCCTTGTTGATTGTGTGTCGATGATAAGTCGTGCCATATATAGATTAGGTTATGCTTTTGTTAGACGTAGTGCACCCAATGGAGGATGTGTTGAGAACCTGATTAGGCCTTTGTTATTTGCTGATTTAAGGGTTTATATATATATATATATATATATATATTTTGAGGAGGTTTGACCCTATTTGGATATTTGATTCCATCATGTCAGTTTCTTTTCTTTAGCGCTGAAAAATACATTTATTATGAATCTAGGATAAAATTTTTATATATGTATTTTAATGGTGATAGTTTAAGAAGTTTTTATACTTTTACAGGTACATCGAGGAAACTAGAGATTACAGGTGAATTGGTCCATCCTCTCTTTAATTTAAATTTTCGATGAGGAGGTAGAAATTTACTAACATGGTCTATTATGATTGCAGGTGGAGTCCTGGGTCTGACTCTTTGTGTTATAGTTATAGTTATCATTGCAATATATAGATCAAACAAAATGAAAAAAGAGGATCAAGCAAAGATCAACAAATTTTTGGAGGATTACAAAGCTCTCAAGCCTGCAAGATACTCTTATGCAGATATCAAGAAAATAACAAATCAATTTGAGGAGGAAGTAGGTCAAGGAGGTTACGGAATAGTATACAAGGGAAAGCTTTCCAATGATGTTTATGTCGCAGTCAAGATCCTCAACAATGTGAAAGGAAATGGAGATGAGTTCATCAATGAAGTGCAAACAATGGGTAGAATCCACCATATCAATGTGGTTCGCTTGGTGGGATATTGTGCTGACGGATTTAGAAGAGCTTTGCTTTACGAGTTCTTACCAAACAATTCACTAGATAAATTCATATCCTCTAATCAAGAGAAGCATTCACTTGGTTGGGAGAAATTGCATGACATTGCTCTTGGCATATCTAAAGGAATTGAATATCTTCATCTCGGGTGTGATCAACGAATCCTGCACTTCGATATTAAGCCTCAGAATGTCTTGTTGGACAACAAGTTTAACCCAAAGATCTCTGATTTTGGTCTTGCAAAATTGTGTTCAAAGGAACAAAGTGTTGTATCTATGACTGCCGCTAGAGGGACTGTGGGCTACATTGCACCCGAAGTGTTCTCCAGGAACTTTGGGAACGTCTCATACAAATCAGATGTTTATAGTTTTGGAATGTTGTTGATAGATATGGTTGGAGGGAGGGAAAATACGATAACACAGAACACAAGTGAGTGTTACTTTCCAGAATGGATATACAAACGTTTGGATCAAGGAGAAGATCTAGGAATTCAAATTAAGGCAGTTGGGGATGCAAAAATTATAAAGAAACTAATAATTGTGGGACTTTGGTGTATACAATGGTACCCAGTGGACCGACCATCGATGAAAGTTGTGGTGCAAATGTTGGAAGGAAATGAAGACACTCTGTCAGTTCCTTCCAGTCCATTTGCCTCCACAAATCCAATGCCAAAAAAGGCAACAATGGACGGGAGAACTTTCAATAGCGACTTAGAATTAGTTTCTGAATCTGAATGAGAGAATGAATTATTGGTATTTTTCAAGATTTTTTTGACTATATAATAGGAATTAATCTCATTGTTCTTACCAATGAGTGTAGAATTAATTGTTTATCAATGTATTACTATATCCATTCAATACTACATCTTGTGCATGTCCTTTGTATTGATAGTCCTCTTGTAATGGTGTGCTCTATTAGGTTTTTGTTCTTGGCAATCCCGTTTGACAAAACTCTTTTCAGTTGTAATTTTATTCAACTTTTATTTCAGTGAGTCTATGAGTTTTTAGATGCGAATCTAATCTAAATTGTGCCTTGCAGAGAAATTTGTGGTGTTAATTCTTTCATGTTTGCTACTTTGCTGACTATGTCGGGGATCGAGCTGCCCGATCAGCTCGCGGGGGTCTAGGGGGCAGCCCTCCTTAGCGGGTCCGGGGCAACGCCCAGGCGGGGTTGAGGAGCAGCGCCCCTGAAGCAAAAAGAAAAATTGCATTCGAAATTGGTTTTCCGCTCGAGCGGCCATTCCTGCGCTCGAGTGGAGATCGCGGCCTTTCAAAAGTTTCACTCGCCTACAAAAGTACTGGGAGTTGTTTTTTTCCACTTGAGCGGGCATTCCCACGCTCGAGCGTAGACCCTGTTTAGTCACACACGTTTTAGTCAGTCCGCTCGAGCGGCCATTCTTGCGCTCAAGTGGAGATCGCAGATCTGTTTTTTATAAATATGTGGTTTTATTAGATTTTAGGGTTACGGCTTCCAGATCTTGTTCTTGGGTATTAGGGTTTTTCCCTGGAGCTTTTTTTCTTATTTCCTTTGATATTTATGAGAGTTTAATCATGAATTGGGTGGATTACATCAAAGGGTTTGTTTATTTTGTTTTATTCAAAAAGAGAGAGTTGTTCTTCGGTAGATTCCATAGAACTTGAGCTTAAAGCTTTGGTGGATTCCAGAGTGGCTTATCGTCGTGGATTCAACATCAGTGTTGTGGATTCAACGTTGGGTAAGACGATTCAGAGGAGAAGACCGTGATGGAAGAGGCATATAGGGTTCGGTTCAATTCAGACGTGGATTCGCTAGGTAATTGAGAGTACACTTGTGTAATTCCTTTTGTCTTCTTAGTGAATTATTTTGTGGCATTTGCCTGTGATTTTTTTTATCACAATTGGAGGCGCTTCAATTGTGGTTTTTTCATGTTAAAATCGTTGTGTCGATTTGTCTTGATTGTTTGATTGGGATTGTTATTTACCGCTTAAAATTGATACATAATCACAAATCAATATCTCTGGGATTTCTAGATTTTTCAAAGACGAAATTCCATGGAAAGAAAATGAGAATTGGTTAAATTGAAGCTTGTTGTATAGCTTATTATTGGTTGCTCTTGAAATGACCAAGTGGAAGAGAATACATGAAAGTTAAAGTTGTTATGTCATCCTTTAGAATTATGTTATGATGATTAATGTATGAAAAATGCTTGAAGGTTAATGTTGTATTATTTTATCTCTTGTAATGTATTATGATATTGCATTGATAAGAGATGTGGAATTTGACAACAATGGACGATTGTGTGGATAAATTAAAAAATTGGCATTGATACGGAAGTGTATAGAATTGGCATTATTGAGATTTTTAAATGGAACCTTGTTATTGCATTGGGCATTGCATAGTCATTCCATTTTGTCATTGATACAATTGATTTCGAATATTGCATTGGAAAAATATATTGTTTTGAGGAAGGTAACTGTTTTGTGAAACAAGCACATATTGAGTGGTTTTTGGGATAAATACGTTGGTAAGTCCGCATAGGGGTGTAGTTGGTATTGGTTAAGTTGGCCTAAGTGTCCATGGTGAAAGACCGAAAACACGCGCGGATGAGGTACCACGTGCCTTCCAGTTAGCTACCGGTAAAGTGGGGATTTGGTAATGCTTGTTATGCCTACATGCAGACACCAACCTAGGGATTACTTGAGTAGCATTTACCGCCCTATTGAACTACATTGAAATTATTGAATTGTTAAATTTTCAGGATTACATTGTGCACAAAAGTTTCAAAAGATAAAGATATTTGTTTTTGAACATCGTTTGGCATATGCATTAATCCGATGAGATTGTATATAATGTATATAGTTTGTTAAGATTTTCCTACCGGGCTTTGTGCTCACCCCTATAGGATTTTGTGCAAGAAAAGATGGGGTGATCCCGCCAAGTTAGAGGTGTGGAGATATGTTTTGAGAGCACAAGGCTCTTTCCTTTTGTTGTAATTATTTTTGACAAGCCAAGGGCTTTATGTGTATGGGTTTGAAACCACTTTTGTGTAACTGGGCTTAAGCCTTGGAATTTGTAGCCCTCGAGGGCATTAATTCGTACTAAACTTCGTTGTTACATGCAATGGATTCATATTCTAGGAATGCTAAATATATAACCGCATGTGGGACATTCTTTTGTAAATCTTTTGATGGTTATTAAATTACAAATGTTGGAGATTTGATGGTGATGTTAATATTGTGATTAACTTATGTTTACATTAAACAATGGAAGTTGGTGAATCTTTATTATGCAAATTTTCGGGGAGTGACAGCACCTCTTATTCTCAACGCTACCAAGTTCTCCAGACGCTAGCTGCTAGGTACTGGCACCTCTGATTCTCAGCGCTTATGCATTTCCAACCATCACATAATCCAACAAACATAAATAATCTAAGTGTACTACATACACATAATCGATTCAACATCACAATGTCATCCTCCACCGATGGCCAAGTGTAACATGCCCGGGGGGTACCCGTGCGCGTTAAACAGTTTGGACTCCCTAGATCTCTTTGATCTAGTCTCACGAGTGCAATGGTAAATATAGATGAGAATCCAGGTTTGGCAACTTTATAGAAAATTCATTTTATTACAAAATATTTTGCCAGAAATGGACTGCGTCATCAGATCTTAGAGTCGCCACCTAATATTTTGGGAAATTAGGAAACCCATGACTCGTGCCAAGGCCACTGTTCGTCGTAACCAAAGATACTTGGCTCGAAACCTTAGGTATGAGAGGGAAAGATCAATAATGAGCACCCCCGCTCACCCGATCAAAGATCGACCTCTACTAAACCATGATATGACTTTTATTTTCTTTATATGTTCATGTTTTGATTATTTAATAAATCCTAAAAAAATTACTATGTGAAGCATACAAGTATAGACTAATTTTCTCAAATTGGAACAATTCAATTTTATGTTTGTTTGTCGAAAAGGGTTTGAATTTTCCACTTGACAAAATGGGCTTAAAGTTTGTGAATTTGCCACTACAAAGTGGGCTTAAAACGTACATTCTTTAAATCATTCCAATTCACGCAACAAGCCTTCATCCACAGGCATTCAAACAGTTTATCAGATAAGCAAATACCCTCACGGTAGAATGTCAAACATAGTAAGAAAAACACACACAAACGGGATGCTAAAGCATAAAAACTTACATGTTTGACGTCCCGCGAACAAGCTACAAAACAAAGTTAGTAAAACATGCATGATCTTATATACAAAATCCTAATGCAATTCACTCATGTGATGCAACTAAAGATTCGGTTTCTAAGATATGCATGTGAATCATCTCAAGAGCATTAGGTAGTGCACATAATCACATAGGAATTGATTAAATCCACAAATGCAAACTTAGCCGAATCAAGATGTATGAAACATGGATGCAAAGCATGGATATAATGAAAAACAAAATATGATGCATATTCACAAATAAAGAAGGCGAGTAAAAGAACAGGATAGAAAGAAACGGGGTGGGGAATTATTACAACACTTGAAAGAATAATTACAAACCAAATTAGAGAGGGATGAGGAGAATATTACAACAAAGTAAAAAAAAACCTCACAAAACACTCAAAAAATAAATAAATAAAAGAAAAAGCTTCATGTGCCTTGGAATCCACCAAAAGTTGGTTAACATCAGAAGACAATACCATCTTGTCTAAAAGAAGATAACCGGCCGACCAAATAGGCCGGCCGGCCAACTGGGCCTAGCAAAACCTGTCTTGTTGCAAAACCAAGAAAAGAACAAACAAGAAATATGTAGCTAGCTTGACTAACTACTAAGGGTTAGATTAAAACAAGGAAACAAAAATAGAAAGTGCAAAATTATAACAAAACTGACATGAACCTAAATTAAGAAAACAAATATAAGATAGAACCTGTAAGATTACAACAAAATTAATATGAAACTAATATAAGAGGATAACTTTAAGCTAGGAAATGCAAGATTACTACACAACAACTATGAAACTAAAACAAGAAAACAAATATTAAGATAGAACATGCAAGATTAAAACAAAACTAACATGAACCTAAAACAAGAAAACAAATATAAGATAGAACATGCAAGATTACAACAACACTAACATGGACCTAAAACAAGAAAACAAATATAAAATAGAACATGCAAGATTACAACAAAACTAACACGGACCTAAAACAAGAAAACAAATATAAAATAGAACATGCAAGATTACAACAAAACTAATGTGAAACTAAAATAAGAAAACAAAGAACACAACTACTACAAAATTAAAACAAGAAAATAAATATAGGATATAATATGCAAGATTACAACAAAACTAATATGAACCTAAAACAAGAAAAACAAATATAAGATAAAACATGTAAGATTACAACAACACTAACATGGACCTAAAACAAGAAAACAAATATAAAATAGAACATGCAAGATTACAACAAAACTAATGTGAAACTAAAATAAGAAAACAAATAACACAACTACTACAAAACTAAAACAAGAACATAAATATATGATAAATATGCAAGATTACAACAAAAGTAATATGAAACTAACATAAGAAAATAAATATAAGATAAAACATGAAAGAAAAATGAAAGAATTGAAAATTCACCTTGCAAAGAAAGATTGAACTTCTTGATTTTCAAACTTCCTCTTGATCACCCTCAAGATTGTGAATTATGATCTTAATCCTCAATTCAAAAGCTTGGAATTTGAGCTTAAAATGATGGTTTTGAACAAGTGTATGATCACTCTTTTCTTGGCAAGAACACTCTCTCTTTGGTTAAGGCTTTGTGTAATTTTTGACAAAGGGAGATAAGATGTAAGAGGCTATGTAACTTCACTAGTTTGGCAAAACAACTCTATTGTTTTTTAGACTTATTTTCACTCAAATTCTAACACAATTTTAGCATTCTCTCCCTACCCTTCTCTTCTTCAAAATCCTCTCCCAATTCAAGACT